TGACTGAAAATTGCAAAAATCGCAAAAATTCCTGAAAATTGCAAAAATCGCAAAAATGACTGAAAATTGCAAAAATCGCAAAAATGACTGAAAATTGCAAAAATCGCAAAATTTCCTGAAAATTGCAAAAATCGCAAAAATTCCTGAAAATTGCAAAAATCGCAAAAATTCCTGAAAATTGCAAAATTCGCAAAAATGACTGAAAATTGCAAAAATCGCAAAGATGACTGAAAATTGCAGAAATTGCAAAAATGACTGAAAATTGCAAAAATCGCAAAAATGACTGAAAATTGCAAAAATCGCAAAAATTACCGAAAATTGCAAAAATCGCAAAAATGACTGAAAATTGCAAAAATCGCAAAATTCCTGAAAATTGCTGAAATCGCAAATATGCCTGAAAATTGCAAAAATCGCAAAAATTCCTGAAAATCGCAAAAATTACTGAAAATTGCAAAAATTCCTGAAAATCGCAAAAATCGCAAAAATTCCTGAAAATTGCAAAAATCGCAAAAATGACTGAAAATTGCAAAAATCGCAAAAATTACTGAAAATTGCAAAAATCGCAAAAATTACTGAAAATTGCAAAAATTACTGAAAATTTTAAAAATGACTGAAGATTGCAAAAATCGCAAAAATTCCTGAAAATTGCTAAAATCGCAAATTCCTGAAAATTGCAAAAATCGCAAAAATGACTGAAAATTGCAAAAATCGCAAAAATGACTGAAAATTGCAAAAATCGCAAAAATTCCTGAAAATTGCAAAAATCGCAAAAATTCCTGAAAATTGCAAAAATCGCAAAAATGACTGAAAATTGCAAAAATCGCAAAAATTCCTGAAAATTGCAAAAATCGCAAAAATTCCTGAAAATTGCAAAATTCGCAAAAATGACTGAAAATTGCAAAAATCGCAAAAATGACTGAAAATTGCAGAAATCGCAAAAATGACTGAAAATTGCAAAAATCGCAAAAATGACTGAAAATTGCAAAAATCGCAAAAATTCCTGAAAATTGCAAAAATCGCAAAAATCGCAAAAATTCCTGAAAATTGCAAAGATCGCAAAAATTGCTGAAAATTGCAAAAATTCCAAAAATGCCTGAAAATTGCAAAAAATTGCAAATATGCCTGAAAATTGCAAAAATCGCAAAAATTCCTGAAAATCGCAAAAATCGCAAAAATTCCTGAAAATTGCAAAAATCGCAAAAATTCCTGAAAATTGCAGAAATCGCAAAAATGACTGAAAATTGCAAAAATCGCAAAAATGACTGAAAATTGCAAAAATCGCAAAAATTCCTGAAAATTGCAAAAATCGCAAAAATTCCTGAAAATTGCAAAAATCGCAAAAATCACAGAAAATTGCAAAAATCGCAAAAATGACTGAAAATTGCAAAAATCGCAAAAATTCCTGAAAATTGCAAAAATCGCAAAAATTACTGAAAATTGCAAAAATCGCAAAAATGCCTGAAAATTGCAAAAATTGCAAAAATTCCTGAAAATTGCAGAAATTGCAAAAATTCCTGAAAATTGCAAAAATCGCAAAAATTCCTGGAAATTGCAAAAATCGCAAAAATTCCTGGAAATTGCAAAAATGACTGAAAATTGCAAAAATCGCAAAAATTCCTGAAAATTGCAAAAATCGCAAAAATGACTGAAAATTGCAAAAATCGCAAAAATGACTGAATATTGCAAAAATCGCAAAAATTCCTGAAAATTGCAAAAATCGCAAAAATGACTGAAAATTGCAAAAATCGCAAAAATTCCTGAAAATTGCAAAAATCGCAAAAATTCCTGAAAATTGCAAAAATCGCAAAAATGACTGAAAATTGCAAAAATCGCAAAATTCCTGAAAATTGCAAAAATCGCAAAAATTCCTGAAAATTGCAAAAATCGCAAAAATGACTGAAAATTGCAAAAATCGCAAAAATGACTGAAAATTGCAAAAATCGCAAAAATTCCTGAAAATTGCAAAAATCGCAAAAATGACTGAAAATTGCAAAAATCGCAAAAATTCCTGAAAAATGCAAAAATCGCAAAAATTCCTGAAAATTGCAAAAATCGCAAAATTCCTGAAAATTGCAAAAATCGCAAAAATTCCTGAAAATTGCAAAAATCGCGAAAATTCCTGAAAATTGCAAAAATCGCAAAAATTCCTGAAAATTGCAAAAATCGCAAATATGCCTGAAAATTGCAAAAATCGCAAAAATTCCTGAAAATTGCAAAAATCGCAAAAATTCCTGAAAATTGCAAAAATCGCAAAAATGACTGAAAATTGCAAAAATCGCAACAATGACTGAAAATTGCAGAAATCGCAAAAATTCCTGAAAATTGCAGAAATCGCAAAAATTCCTGAAAATTGCAAAAATCGCAAAAATTCCTGAAAATTGCAAAAATCGCAAAAATTCCTGAAAATTGCAAAAATCGCAAAAATTCCTGAAAATTGCAAAAATCGCAAAAATGACTGAAAATTGCAAAAATCGCAAAAATGACTGAAAATTGCAAAAATCGCAAAAATTCCTGAAAATTGCAAAAATCGCAAAAATTCCTGAAAATTGCAAAAATCGCAAAAATGACTGAAAAATGCAAAAATCGCAAAAATTCCTGAAAATTGCAAAAATCGCAAAAATTCCTGAAAATTGCAAAAATCGCAAAAATTCCTGAAAATTGCAAAAATCGCAAAAATTCCTGAAAATTGCAAAAATCGCAAATAAGCCTGAAAATTGCAAAAATCGCAAAAATTCCTGAAAATTGCAAAAATCGCAAAAATTCCTGATAATTGCAAAAATCGCAAAAATGACTGAAAATTGCGAAAATCGCAAAAATTCCTGAAATTTGCAAAAATCGCAAATATGCCTGAAAATTGCAAAAATCGCAAATATGCCTGAAAATTGCAAAAATTGCAAAAATGACTGAAAATTGCAAAAATCGCAACAATTACTGAAAATCGCAAAAATGATTGAAAATTGCAAAAATCGCAAAAATTCCTGAAAATTGCAAAAGTCGCAAATATGCCTGAAAATTGCAAAAATCGCAAAAATGACTGAAAATTGCAAAAATCGCAAAAATTCATGAAAATTGCAAAAATCGCAAAAATTCCTGAAAATTGCAAAAATTGCAAAAATGCCTGAAAATTGCAAAAATCGCAAAAATTTTTGAAAATTGCAAAAATCGCAAAAATGCCTGAAAATTGCAAAAATCGCAAAAATTCCTGAAAATTGCAAAAATGACTGAAAATTGCAAAAATCGCAAAAATGCCTGAAAACTGCAAAATTCCTGAAAATTGCAAAAATCGCAAAAATTCCAGAAAATTGCAAAAATCGCAAAAATTCCTGAAAATTGCAAAAATCGCAAAAATGCCTGAAAATTGCAAAAATCGCAATAATGCCTGAAAATTGCAAAAATCGCAAAAATGCCTGAAAATTGCGAAAATCGCAAAAATTCCTGAAAATTGCAAAAATCGCAAAAATGCCTGAAAATTGCGAAAATCGCAAAAATTCCTGGAAATTGCAAAAATCGCAAAAATGCCTGAAAATTGCAAATATCGCAAAAATGCCTGAAAATTGCAAAAATCGCAAAAATTCCTGAAAATTGCAAAAATCGCGAAAATGACTGAGAATTGCAAGAATCGCAAAAATTCCTGAAAATTTCGAAAAAAGACAATAATTAATTCCAAAAAAGTCATCTGGAGTAGATCCAATTTTCATTCAACTTCAGAATCTACATGTCAATTTAGTTGAGAATAATAAGTAATACTCAGGGAAGATGAACAATCGTAGATTTTATTTGTTGTATAACTTTGGAGCTCAATTTGGAGCTAATTATCATAGATATCAATAGACAATTGATTACTTAAAACACTACAAACCACCAGGACTGATGCCAATTTTTTTTTAATTCAGAATCAATATGTCATTTCAAGTAAGCAGAATATTATTTTAATACCTACTCAAGAAAAGATGAGCCATTGTAGATATTATTTAATGTGATATTCAGTTGTATTTCAGATGTGGAAGTGGTACTGAAAAAATATAGCTTACATACCTAAGAATAGAAAAAAAATCCTAGAATAAACCAACAGGAGTAGATCCAAATTTTATTCCAATTCAGAGTTAAAAGCATGCCATTTCTGGCAAGTTACATTCAGTAAAGATGAGCCATTGTAGGTTCTTCGCAGTTTTCAGTTTCAAAGTTAGTTATCATCAAAAGCAATAAGCAATATTTCATTCAGAATGAACAGAAGATGGTGTAGAAACTCCTATTAAATCCCATCTACTGTTACTTGGTCAAAGTTTTACTTGACAGAAGGATTCTTCTCAATATCATAGAGTATAGGTCACATTTTAATGGTTAGATGGCGAAATCTGAACCAAAATTCAATGTTGGTAGAACTGATGACAATTAAAATTCCCCAAAATTACAGTTTTGAACTGTAATGAATGTTATGATATTATTATTTCTAGTGGAAGTGGTGTGTAACCCCTTTTTCTGTTTTCTGCCTTGAAAGAAATCTGTACAAAGTGTCACCATCTTGCAGACAACTGAGAACTAATATGCCATTATTGCAGAATCTGGGGTCAAGCATTTTGGGAGGAATAAAACACTGTCTATGATTACACCCATATTCTATCCACCTTGATTTCATTGTAGGTGGAAAAAAGTATGTACCATTGACTCGACCATTGATGTGTCATCTTATATTTTTTACATATTTTGATTTGAGGCTAGTTCAAGAAAATATGAAGTCCTTGCAAAAGCAGAACATACAGATTGAAACCAAAAGATTTTGGTTGTTAAAGTAAGTAATTTGCAGAATAATATGTTCAATTTCAAATGTTTCTTCTTTGGTTGATAGCATGAGAGCCAGTACTCAAAAATTATGTGAAGAAAATAGTTCCCAGGTAAACACTAGGAATAATTGCTTTTGCAACTCAAAATATAACACCCACTTTGGACAAAATATACAAAATTTCAACTACCAGCTAGAAAACAGAATAAAAATGACTTACAGTTGCAATATTGATCCATGCCTGAGCCAGTTGAGTGAGCGTAGCATCATCATCTTTATCCTGCATATCTTTCAACTTCTTCCTTGCCAAATCCACCCTATCCAACTTCAGCAAAATATCAATAATGAAGGCCATAGCTTCCAAGCTTTCATTAGCATGCAGCACTCTGTATGCAGCCTCTAAATTGTTCTCATTCACATAAATAGTAGCAGCAACTAATATCAAGGTTTGGCTATCAGCATTGGCTTTTATTTGTTGATCTACTTGAGCTAGAACTGTTTCTTTGTTGGTTTTGCCTGATAGATATTCAGCCAAGTACTTCAGGGGTTGGATTTCTGAGGGAGAAGCTCCATGTATTTCTTCTAGCACAACTAGAAACTTGTTTTGTGCTATGTAAGATCGGTATGTGAAGATGTCTCTTTGAATTGCTATTTCTGCACTTGAAGGCTGAAAGAAACAAGGAAATGAATACAATGGTGGTTTGATTAATTCAAGTACTCACCTTTCTCAATTTCTGGGCTTCGTTGATGCATTGTTGGTAGTTTCCTATGTAGAAATAGTTCTTTACTTCAAAGAGCTCATCTATTTCTTGCTGACGTGCCATGTTGATGAATAGGAAATGTGAAACAACTGAAACAGAATGCTGACGCCTCTATGAAAATATCAAATTTTCAGGATAAGTTTTAACTACCTGAGCTCTTCCGCTAAACTCCTCACTGATCAATCTTTATTATTCAATAAATTGAAATTAATTGAACATTTTTTGTTTTCCCAAGTTCTTGTTTTTAATTTTCAACACTGTCACTTTTCTGCCATATGTCATCATTGTCATCGCTGAGATGTCATCGCTAGTTGTCTTCTTCTTTTTTTTATATATTCTCTTCAGAATCTTGTGCATTTGTGACTAGACATTATTTTTTAATTTTTGCTCCACATTTCTTGAAAATACGATGGTAACCTGACAACCTGTGTAGCCGTATGACTTTCCTTTTCCTTGGAGGCACTGTGTTCGCATCAGTGGTTCGCATCTGCAGCCGCAGCGATCATACTTTTTCTACAATACTGCGTTCACATCACGGGACATTTCATTCATCCCAGCAATTTTTAATCGTGTTTCGTGTTCCTGTTCTTGATTTTATCGTTCCGTGGTGTGTATTTCGAATTTTGCATGGAAATCTTGTAGCACGAATCCGTTTTGCCCAGACACATGCATGGGCGATTCCTATAGACCAATCAGAGCGATTTGGACAATAGCGGTAAGTTCAAATCACGGATATTGTCGTTGAATCCGAATAGAGTACCTTGATGGAAATTGACGTTAAAGTCAGTACGGACAGATCCCCGTCTCCTCTCACTCTAAACTGATTGTGAAACACTTATATCTTATATAGTTCCATCCTTATTTAATTCTGGGGATAAACACTATATTTTTGACATTTCTTGTTTTTTAGGTTATATTGAGTTCATTGGCGTATCATACGTGATTTCCATATGGAATTCCTGATTCAACTATACCAAGATATAGTTCAACAATCCTCTAGATTCAAAGTTTACTACTCCAGCAAAATCTTCGCGAGGAAAACATATAATTTTGTACTAAAAGCTTAATATATTTCACCAAAAGAGACTGTTCTTAGACTGTATACCAGGGATGACTAAATTGACTAAATGAATTCTGATTTCAAGCTGAGCAGTAGTTCAACTATGAGCTGAATGGGCTGGGCCTTTTGATTGAGAAATGGTGAAAACCTCGATGTGGGTATCGGAACTACTGTACTCATGTCTTTCGGAAATCCAACTTGGAGAAAAATTCATGGAGTGACTAATTCTAGGACGAAAAGTAGGCTTATAAAAAGTTATACGTGAAATTACAGAATAGAATATACTTTACCCCCATGTTATACATATGATTTTTCCGTCTCCCTTAAATAAAAAGTGATTTCCAAATAATTTATTGATGAACGTAACAAAGGAGTCGGTATACAGTATAACTTATTGGCACGTTATTTTCACTCTTGCATTTTCAATTTGTGGTAGAGTGATAATTCATATAAACTAATATTTTCAATTAGTGGTAGAGTGATAATTTATATAAACTAATATTCTCAATTTGTGGTAGAGTAATAATTATATAAACTAAAGTTGAAAGTGCAGTTTTGAGCAGTGGTTATTTGAATACCACATAAGACTTCAGTGACCCACAATTTGGTTCGAAATATTTTGCTATCTTGTGAGAGATTGCTGCACATACCCTTCAGCGATATTCGTAGACTTCCAAGCAAGAATGTCGTCTCCTCTAGAATTTGCAAGTAAACTTGCCGAGGTTCTTCTGAAACTATTTCCGGTATAATTCATGACATCAGGCATTTTTGAAAATTCTGCACTTTGATGACCGAGGACCTATGACCTATGACCTATGACCTATGACCTATGACCTATGACCTATGACCTATGACCTATGACCTATGACCTATGACCCTGTGACCTATGACAGATGACCGATGACAGATGCCAGTTGACGACCGGTGACAGATAACCGATGACATGTGACAGTTGACGTATGAGTTGGATGAAAAATGAATACATATACAGTGTATGTTCGTATGGACTGGATGGTTTTCTCCGATTGACTGGCAAGTACCAAATACTGCTTCTCTGATTTGCAACAGAACATCAAATATCAATCGAAGTACATTCATATCAGAAAACGAATATCATTAGAGATGAATAACATGGATGTTGAATCTGAGACATACCTGAATAATATATTCAACGTCCGTAACTGGGTTGCTACATATCTGCTTTCTTTCCGAATAGTGGTTTTTCCAGTATAGGCATCATTCGCATTTTCAATTACATAGGCCTTGAATGCCAAACAATGTGCTGCTCGGATCTAAAACTGAAGATCAATTTCAATTATGAAACGTGAGACCAACATATAGAATATAAATCTATGAAAAGTCTGGATATGTTTCCAACATTCGTAACTGAAACGCGATATATTTTTATAAATCATCAACTATCTCAATGAAGACGAGGCAGGCAGATAAACAACAATTTTCTCTGCAATGAAGAACACTGTATATACCTAACCCACTATGCGTCTACCTCCTTTGCAGAGAGGGTTTATAAACGCCGAGTTGATACTCTCCCCTCGTAAGGGTACCTGTCGTGTTTCCATAGAGACATAAAGCTGAATATCTGTCTATCTGTCTGCTTGAGAATCTCGAGGAGAATCTGGAACTCAATATATCGCCTTCCGTACGAATATAATGATCTGAATTCTGTAAAAGTATACTCTGGTCATTTCTCTTTGCGGATCTTCTGTTCCATCCGTACAGTAAATGGTTTTCTCCGATTGAGTGGCAAGTATCAAGCACTGCTTCTTGGATCTACAACTAAACATCACATTCAAATCGAAGTACATTTGATTAAATAAATATCATTAGAGGAGATACATAGATGTTGCATCTGAGACATACCTGAATGATACTTTCAAAGTCCGCAACTAGATTGCTACATTTCCGCTTTCTTTCCGCATAGTGGTCTTCCCAGTAGGCATCTTTTACATGTTCAATAACGTGGGTTAGATTAAGGACCTTGAAGGCCAAACAAAATGTGCTGCTCAGATCTAAAACTAAGTATCAATTTCAAATTTGAATCGTGAGACCTACATAGAATATGAATCTATGGTAAGTCTAAATATGATTTTCAACATTCATAACTGGAACGCGATATATTTTTGTAATTCATCAACTATCTCAATGAAGACGAGGCAGGCAGATAAACAACAATTTTCTCTGCAATGAAGAACACTGTATATACCTAACCCACCATGCGCCTACCTCCTTTGCAGAGAGGGTTTATGAACGCCGAGTTGATACTCTCCCCTCGTAAGGGTACCTGTCGTGTTTCCATAGAGACATAAAGCTGAATATCTGTCTATCTGTCTGCTTGAGAATCTGGAAAGGTAATCAATATATCGCCTTCCGTACGAATATAATGATCTGAATTCTGTAAAGTATACTCTGGTCAGTTCTCTTTGCGGATCTTCTGTTCCGTCCGTATAGTAAATGGTTTTCTCCGATTGAGTGGCAAGTATCAAACACTGCTTCTTGGATCTACAACTAAACATCACATTCAAATCGAAGTACATTTGATTAAATAAATATCATTAGAGGAAATACATAGATGTTGAATCTGAGACATACCTGAATGATACTTTCAAAGTCCGTAACTAGATTGCTTCATATCCGCTTTCTTTCCGTATAGTGGTCTTCCCAGCAGGCATCTTCCACATGTTCAATAACGTGGGTAAGATTAAGGACCTTGAAGGCCAAACAATATGTGCTGCTCAGATCTAAAACTAAGTATCAATTTCAAATTTGAATCGTGAGATTTACATAGAATATGAATCTATGGTAAGTCTGAATATGGATTTTAACATTCATAACTGGAACGCGATATATTTTTGTAATTCATCAACTATCTCAATGAAGACGAGGCAGGCAGATAAACAACAATTTTCTCTGCAATGAAGAACACTGTATATACCTAACCCACCATGCGCCTACCTCCTTTGCAGAGAGGGTTTATGAACGCCGAGTTGATACTCTCCCCTCGTAAGGGTACCTGTCGTGTTTCCATAGAGACATAAAGCTGAATATCTGTCTATCTGTCTGCTTGAGAATCTGGAAAGGTAATCAATATATCGCCTTCCGTACGAATATAATGACTTGAATTCTGTAAAGTATACTCTGGTCAGTTCTCTTGGCGGATCTTCTGTTCGGTCCATATTTACTGGATGGTTTTCTCCGATTGAGTGGCAAGTATCAAACACTGCTTCTTGGATCTGCAACGAAACATCACATTCAAATCGAAATTTGAATCAGGAAATATCATTAGATATTGAATCTGAGACATACCTGAATTATATTTTCAACGTCCGTAACTATAGATTGCTATATACCTATATCCGTTTTCTTTCCGAATAGTGATTCTTTCAGTGGGCATCTTCTAACGTTTCAATTACGTGGGTTATATTGAGTACCTTGAAGGCCAAACAATATGCTGCTCCGATCTGAAACTAAGTATCAATTTCAAATTTGAATCATGAAACCTACATTGAATTCAACATTCATAAATGGAACCCGATATATTTGTGCAATTCATCAATTTATCCTCAACTATTTCAATGAAGACGAGGCAGGCAGATAAAAATTATCTTTCATTTCCACTCATGAAGCATGGTTGTCAAGTCACCAATTACAATCAATTTATCATAAATATTAGAGTCTCGCGGTAAATATTTAGCTGTTTGAAAATTACCGTGGCATTATTGTTGATCTCAGCACCATGAAACCGAATGAAGAATTCTGAAAATATATGAAATTGAAAGTTATTTGAGTGATGATTCTATTTAAGAAATAAAAATAAATTAGTCAACCCGCCTATTTCATTTTCGTGGATGGTTCCATGGCTGTTAGCAAGCAGTTTATATCACTGAAGATGACTCCACTTGGTAATTGTGGGTACTTTCAGTATATATCTACTGTTCCTGCAAATTTCAGGAACAATAAATACGAAAAGATACAGGGATGCTTTCATTGAAAGTGAGACACACTGTGCATTGTTCATCTTGAGTCAGTTCTGATCTCCATATCTCTTCATCTGAAGTTTCATCTTCAAAATGAGCCAAGGATTTTGAAAATCGGTAGGGAAGGAAAAAATGTATGACTGCAAAATCTAAAAGTCAATTTTTCGATCACTCTGTAAGTAAAAGGGATAATAAGACAGTTCGAAAAAT